TGTCATTATGTATAGCATATAAAATAAAAACGTTATTTCTATAGTATCTTTCATACAAGAAATACTGAAAAAAATGCTTTACAGTAAGCAAAAAACACTTTAAAATGTATATTAAAAACAGGGGTAGAATGAGGAGATTCAATATATGCTGGTGTTCATATACCAGTTTATTTTATTCTGTTGTTCTTATGGAGAGCATATACAATTTAAAATAATAAAATAAGTTATTTCTATGGTATCTTTCCTACAAGAAATGTAAAAAAAAGTGCTTTATAATAACAAAAAACTGACAAAATAAACATTAAAACAACAGTCACTAAAAAAGACGGAAAACATACTGAAAAATTTAAATAAATAAAGTGTTAATATTTTTTATTAAAGTGCACCTACCATGCTATTTCTAGGCAATAGCATAGGTATCAGATATATATAAATATTTAAAAAACATGTCTATGAAGTGTTTTGCTCAAAATACCAAACAGATCACCCATTCTAGCCATGCCTCAGATCCCTCTATTTCACTTCCTGTTTCAAAAGTGCTGATTTGGGGTATAAAGCTTTAAAAAATAAAAATATTGATAAAAAAGAGGGGCGGAGCTTATGCGGGAGATTCAACCGGCAGATACTGCAGAGATGAAACGCCATATCATGGATTATCAAGGATTATTTCTGAAACAGTATGGAGCTCAAAGGCTTTCTCTCTTGCCGGTTATACCACAAGGTGAGTTCCTTTTTATTTCCTGCTTCTTCACACACATGCTCTCCAGTACAGGTTAGCTCTGAGTGTTAGCGATGCTAATGTAAACACCGACCATATTACGTCCAAAACAGTCGGGCATTGTTTCTGATAGCAACGTCTCTGATAGGGCCGTGGGTCCACATTTCCGATATTACGTCATATCGGACACAAATCTGGATCAGCTCCGTTGTAGCCCCGTTTTTAGAGATTTGGGTACGGAGGAAAAGAGAGAGGGTTTTATTTTCTAACGCTGCGTGAGTTCCCCGACACACCGGGGACACATTTATGTATAGAAGACATCAAAAAGTGCATTTTCTATGAAGCGTAAAAATAGGATTGTTCACAGTAGACGAATGTCACCAAATAAGGTAGAATCCTCAATTTTCCAACAAAGCTAATACTTATCATCTGTTGGCTGTGGAATAATGTAATTGGTGTCTTATAACATACCTAAATTACTTAAATAAATGTGGATTTATAGCCTTTGTATTGAAATGCTTCTCATATATGTACACCTTACCTGAAATGACCCCACTGGCCAGACCGGGGATGCCTTTGATCTGTGAGAAATTGTTGGAGAGGAAGTATTCGTCGCAGGAAGAGTTGATTTCTGTTCCGTGGCAGAACTGTTTCCAGAGGTGAGTGGTCTTCTCCGTGAGAGGGGGGGCCAGGCTGGGGTCGAAGGTCGGGCCCAGAGTGCTGGTTTCTAATGGGAAGGAATACAGAACGTCTTGAATAGATGTGCAAGTCGAAAACATACCTACTTCTGGTGATTCTTGAGGTAACAATCGAGCCCTGGCGAAGCTATTTCCGTTGACTCCTTTAAAAGCAAACTCAAAACCCATCTCTTCGCATCCTTGTAGACTAATTTCCATCACCTAGTTTCCATCAATATTACCATCACTTCAGTCACATGCTTTTATCACATGGCAATACTTATGTTGATGTATAATGTTGTATAATGTTTTTATAATTCTTATGCTATGACGTTTGTATTTTGTTTTTGTCTTTGCTTTGTACAGTGATCTGGGGCTATAATACATTTTGATTTGATTTGATACCCACCGTTACTAGTAGTGTTGTAGTCCCCCATCTCCCCTTGATCTTTGATCTGCTGCAGCATGGTTTTCCCACATTGGCGGTCCGGAATTTCGTGTCCGCTGATTGTCCTGTTTCCCAGCATGCACACGCTGCGGAGAGAAGCCAATATGTCATACAAAAAAATCCACGAAACTCCAAAATTAGCAATTTCATTTTAAAGGTCACCTATCATGCTATTTTTAGGCATATATTATGGGTCTCAGATATATACAAATATATAAAAAACATGTTTTGCTCAAAATACCAAACAGATATTTAAGCCCTGTTAACTGCTAATCTGGGTCCTTAGCTTGATTCAAAATTTAAAAAAGGAGGGGGAGCTAGTGCCTGCTCAGAATTACAGAGATACAGCTAATTGCTGCTGTGACTAAACGCCATCATGTTCCAAACCACATCAAGGATTATTTCTGAAACAGTATGGAGCTCAAATGCTTTTTCTCTTGAGGGTTTACCACAAGGTGAGTTCCTTTTTATATCCTGCTTTTTTACACGTGTGCTCTCCAGTACAAGTTAGCTCTGAGTGTTAGCGATGCTTGCTAATGTAAACAAAGACCATATTACGTCCAAAATACGTCGGGCATTGTTTCTGATAGCAACTTTCTGTGGGTCAACATTTCTGATATTACGTCATATCGGACGCAAATCTGTATCAGCTCCGTTGTACCCCCGTTTTTAGAGATGTGGGTACGGAGGAAAAGAGAGAGGGTTTTATTTTCTGACACTTTGTGAGTTCCCTGACACACCGGGGACACGTAGTTATTTATAAAAGATATTTTAAAAAAGTGCATTTTGCATGATAGGAGCAAAGCTTACGGGAAATGAGGCGGTTTGAAGGCGGAGACCAGCGCCCCGACGTAGATGGAGACGATGGAGACGATGACGCAGGCGAGAAAGACTGACGCCAGTTTGTTGACGTACTTCACGCCCACGAAGACCAGCAGGGACATGAGGAGGAGGCAGATGGAGCCGTACACTCGCATGTTGTTCAACATGGCCGCCCCTTCACCTTCGGGGTGCTCCGACTTGAAAATAGCTGCTTTGGGTGCTAAGTAAATCTGGAGGAGGGATGGAAAAGAACGTTTCATTTTTTGTGTGTTTTTTAGCTAACTGGAAATGACAGGTATTTCATGTGCCCTGATTTTAACAAATTATTACATAATAACACGCTTTGTTTAATACTTTATTTAGATTTTTAAATACAAAATGTCTACGTTTTTATTATTTTTAGCTGCTAAATAAGCACGCAGTTCTCTCATCCAAACACAGAAAGGGGACTAATTATATTAATGGAAGCAATTGAATCAACTTTAACTCATTATTTAGTGTGAAATTATTAAATTCTTCATTAATTATCCGCCTAATCAACCGGATAATGTACAGTGACGGGGTCATTATTGCAAAATGAATTCCTTCAGGGTGATTCAAGACCCCTGCCGGGCACAATATTAAAAAAAGAGATACCAGCAGATCCTAATATAATGAAATTCCGATACTGTACATATACATATATCAAATGTCATATATACGCACTTAGCTACACCGTAAGGACACTAAGAGAATATAAGCTTTAATGTTCTGTGTTATGTTGGCTTATCGTTTTTGTAGAAAGCCTGTTGATGTTTCCTAATGCTCTCCTTTAGATTGTAGTTTTTATCTGGGTTAACTTGTTTTATAGCAGCTGAACTAAAGGGTGAGTGTGATCATTGATTGGTGGGTAGTCTATTAGCACAGTGATGTTTTTGTATTGAATTAAAAACTAAGCACTAGCTTAACAGTGTTCAATGTGTACGTTCCTGTTCACAGTTTGAATATCACATATAATTGACAATATGTGTTTTAAATAGAGGGATTATGGCTGCGGCAAAACCATAATGGAAGCAATAAACAGTGTGATGTCTTAAGCTGGAAATGCCAATACAACCATGTGTCCAAAAACAACGACAACTGGTCGATCGGAGAGGAAATGGGTAAAGATTTTAAGAGTGAAGCTGAACCGCCACATGTTTCGAAAAGTGCTTTCTCTGTTGCTTTGATTACAGCTTCAAGAATTATATTGAGGCATTGGAGAATAGACAAGCCTCCGCATATGAAGGAATGGAGTAATGCTATGCTGGAGATGGCATCCTATGAGGCTATCAGGGTTCATACACTTTTTCACCAATGATTTTCAATGACTTCTCCAGGACCTTTACCTAATTTTCCATGACCAAAAAAATGACTCTTTCTCAGCGGTATCACTGAAAATGGTTTATTACGTTTCATTACTATACGATACAGTATTTATTATCGTTATAGTATTACTATTTCGGCGATTAGATAAAATATAAATTATATTTTATGCAACTTTAGTTAAATTTCCATGACTTTTCCAAAACTTTGGGGAAAATATTGTTTTCCATAACTTTTCCAGGGCCTGGAATTAGCATTTTTGAATTTCCATGACTTTTCCAGGTTTTTAATGACCGTAAGAACCCTGGGCTATGCTCACTCGGATGAAAGGCATTGAAGATGCTAAGGACAATCCTTTGGAGCGTTTTTCAATTTTCCATTGCTTATATACCTCATTTTCTATTTTGTGACTATTATTATGTTACTTTTTCCACCATGCCATGTCTTTTAATGTCAATGCCAGGACCACGGGGGAGAGGGATTTGTTTATGCAGTGTACCGCCAAGGTTTCTTTGTTCTGAATGGAAAATTCAATACAAATTTGAATTACAAAAAGAGTGAACCCACCAGCAGGATCTCGATGGCTCCCAGGATGTACATGGCTCCGGCGAAGGTGGTTCCCAGGTAGAAACACAGACCCACCGCCCCCCCGAACTCTGGACCCAGAGAGCGGCTGATCATGAAGTACGCGCCTCCCGCTGGAGGAGGGGAGGAAAGAGAGAGAGAGAGAGAGAGACAGAGACAGAGACAGAGACAGAGACAGAGAGAGAGAGAGAGAGAGAGAGAGAGAGAGAGAGAGAGAGAGAGACAGAGAGAGAGAGAGAGAGAGAGAGAGAGAGAGAGAGAGAGAGAGAGAGAGAGAGAGAGAGAGAGATAGAGAGAGCGAGCAGGGCAGGTCGTACATCAGGGTTGAGAGAAGTGGAAATGGCGAGAAGCAGAAGCAGAAGAAGTGGATGGGAGAGAAGAAGAGATGGGACATAAAGAGAGAGAGAGAGAGAGAGAGAGAGAGAGGGGTGGATGTTAGTCACATAGTGATGTTAGGAGGTAGAGACTCAGAGGAGACGACAGCTGATGAGAGAAGTCGTCCTATGCTTGGAGAAATAAGCATAATGCTCCACATGATACATCGGAGGAAGAAGATGGAGCAGAGCTTCGGTCAAATCGTAACTGCAAATCACGTTTCAGATGTTTTTTTACTCACTTGGAGGACAAGTGCCAGTGTTAAGTAACCTCTTGATTGTCTTCAGTAAGTTCTTGTTGTCTTAAGTTGGAAACAAATCAGTAGCATTGAGTAAAACTGACTGTACTGAATCAGACTTAGTTTTGTTTACTTGATCTGGGATGTGACAACTCCTGATTTATGTTAAATATTTCCATTTTGTATCTATTAAAGCCAATATTAAACACTTGAGGCTTCCTTTGCACAAAAGAGTTTTGGATAATAAATATGTTTGCATTTCTCAAAGTTAAGAATCAAAAAAGTAGTCCGATAATCAGACTAGGGCTGAACGATTTTGATTTAAAATCGATTAATCATTTTAAATGATGCAATTATCAAATCGCAAAGCCTGCGATTATTATTATTATTATTTTGTTCTTCTTGTGTGTCAGTCATCCACACCAATCAGAAGTGCTGTGCTCCACATGTACCAGTCATTGTTAACCAATCAGAAGTGCTGTGCTCCACATGTACCAGTCATTGTTAACCAATCAGAAGTGCTGTGCTCCACATGTACCAGCCATTGTTAACCAATCAGAAGTGGCCCATGATAGAAGGTGATAGACAGATTGATCCAATCACCTGCCAAGTGTTTTTGAAAGTGCCTGCTCTTTTCCAAATGGCTTCCAATGGAGCGTTCCTAGATGGTCTGAGTCAGGTTAGTAACGCTCCATCACATGTTCTACATCTATTACAGGGTGAGTCTGAAACTGAAGCTTGACTTTAAAGCAACCCAACGGAAGTTTCCTGTAAGTTTAGTTCTTCCACTCGTAGCTCGGGCTGCGGGGGTGCTAGAGACGGGAGCACGTTGATACGACCTTCCTAGCCGGAGATATGGCCGCATTTTACAATAAACTTCCGTTGGGTCGCTTAAAAATAAATATCGTGAATGACAATCACGAAATCTGTCAGAAAAATCGCAATTCGATTATTATATATCGTGCAGCCCTACATCAGACTGAAGTGCCGTTTAGTTTATCGTTTCTCCAAGAAATATGTGGATGTGAGAGGACTTACTCATTGTTCATTAAGCCAACTAAACTTTGATTCATAAATGCAATGACATTTGTCTCCCCTTTTCCATTAATTATCAAAAATGTCTTATAATATAAGATTTAATAGAAGATGTGGGCAGTGAGGCATTAGTATAGAAAAATGTTGAATAAAACCAGGCCCTAAATTGTGTTCTGAACTTGGCATTGTCTTACACACCTGGTACTCTTAAAGGGGACCTATCATGCAAAATGCACTTGTGTACGTCTTTTCTACATGAATATGTGTCCCCGGTGTTCCAGGGAACTCACCAAGTGTCAGAAAACACAACCCTCTCTATTTTCCTCCATACCCAAATCTCTAAAAAAGGGGCTGCAACGGATCTGATAAAAACTGATCCAGATTTGAACACTGTCCTGACGTCAGGACAGTGGCGCTACGGCTATTGGGCCAACTCCACCAATCAGGAGGAGACAGCCACGGCCATTGCCGTTCGAAAGCGCTGGAGACGCTGTAGTACATATGCCAGGCCTGTAGGTGGTGCTGTTCTCACTGAATCAGCCCTTGCAAAAACAGGGGTAAAAAAGTATAAATATGCCTTATATAGGTATGGTCCTACACTATATTATTCAAATATAGCATGATAGGTCCACTTTAAGTGAACTAAACAACAACAGTAAGCTTTAATTTGCAGATACAATTTGAACCAGTTATATAATAAAGCACATGGAGGAATCACACAAGAAAGAGAAACTACATTAGAAGCTTCTGAGAGCTCAGAAAGCAGTGTTTGGTTTCCTAAATGCAACCCATTGACATTTGACAAACACAGTGAGATGAATGGTTAAAAAACAATAGGGCGTGTGAATGTGAATGAATGGATTCCCCAACCCCCCAAAAAACTGCCATTGATGTCCTAAATAAAAGCATCAAAGTGAATTTAAAGAAATGAACGAGATGCGATGGGATGAGCATCTTCTTCATTTGAACCACTTGAAACTCCACCCATACAGTATTAACTTAGTGAGAGCGCATGAGAAGCTGAGAACAAAAAAGACAGCATGGGATGAAATGTCTGAAGCCAAACAAACAACGTTAGATTCATCTCTATGTTACCGAGGGGTTATCGATTATAGAAATGTCAACATCACACTACTTTGACATTTGGGGTCTCCGACTAGAGGCGTAAAGTCAATGGTGGATCAATTATCCTTGGTTTTTTAATAATGTGTGTTCAGACAGACAGACAGGAGGCAGACAGAGGGAGAGACGGGACAAACAGAAACAACATTAGAAAAAACACACGAATCAATACCGACACGAGCGGGGAAACTGAAAGGAAACAACCTGCAAGATTCATCTATGGCTGTACCGAAAAAAAGTCCTTAATTGTAATGAATTATTTATTGGATAGAGGGAGTCATTGTTTTTTAAATACTGTTGGGAAAATACTGAATGTTCCTTCTATATCAGCACATGATAACAGAGGCCCTACGTCGCTGTGTACGTAGCCGGATGTCTGACTACATGGACGACGCTCATGAGACACTGTGTTGAAGTTATGATAGCTATGTTCCTCAGATTGGCATGATGACACAGCCCCTAGACAGATAGGCATATCATGTTTATTGCTTACGCAGGCCTTAGCTAATCTTAACTAATGTCAGAATACTTCTTTGAACCGGTATTCCTCCATCTTGTGACTGTAACACCTTCTCTTGTATATAAACATTTTGAAGGACCCCACTGTTCGGGGGACTAAATTCTTGCAAGGATAATAAATACATGGACCCTGATCATGAAGACCGGTGGGTGACGAAAGACATTTCTTTGCAGCATTCAAATATTGTTTTATAATTCCAAAAGTAACTAAGTACATTTACTCAAGTACTGTACTTTAAGTGCATTATTGAGGTGCTTGTACTTTCCTTGAGTATTCTCATTTAATGTTCATACTTCTACTCCAATACATTTTGGCAGCAGATATTGTCCCGACTAACTACATTTATTTGCCTACTTTTCAGGTTTATATAAATAATACAAACATTAAATCAACTCATACACTATGATCTACTTTAAGGATAGATATACCTTGCAGTTTGATAAGTAATTAATGTAATATTATCCTTTAAGATGCAAAATTAAAATGATAGACACATGAATGCATCAAAACAAGTGATATAAAATATATTGTTTAGAAATCGGCCACTTTGGATTATGAGTACTTAAGTATATTTCGATGATGCTACTTTTGTACTTTTACTTGTAATGGAGTATATTTACACAGCGGTATTATTACTTTTACCTAAGTGTACGATCCGAGTACTTCTTCCACCACTTGATAATCCAAATGTCAACGTTATAATTGAAGTATTGAAGCTTCAAACTATCCAATATAGCCGTATATAAACAACGTAAGAGGTCACTTGGCTGTGTAAACTCATATAAGTTAAACTGACACGGTAATAATGGAGATAAGACCCAGCTGTGTGGGAGTCGTATGAAGAGATCACCCAGCACACACCAGTGCCCTTTAATCCACAGGTAGGGAGAGGATGGGAGGGGGGAGGGGGGAGAGGATGGGAGGGGGGAGGGGGGAGTAAAATGATGAAGGAATACCTGGAACAACTCCGTTAGTGGCGATGGCGCTCATCGATATCGCCGTCAACAACGTCTGCAGGGAGAGAGATTTAACATACATTTAGAGTTTCTGATGAAAGTGGTAATATGCAGAGATGGGAAAAGTACACACATCCTTTACTCAAGTAGAAGTACAGATACTCGTGTTTAAAAATACTCTGGTGAAAGTAGAAGTACTGACTAAACTTCTTTACTCAAGTCAAAGTAAAGAGGGCTTTGAAATGTACTTCAGTAAAAAGTACCCATAACTAGCAGCTGTTTTAAAGAGTACCTGACCTCCCTTTATATTAATAGAACAATAATGTCATTGTTAGCTAATGAATGTTTCCATGCTGAACAACGGCAACATGACAACGTTTTCATTGGTCCCTCTTCTTTAGAGAAGACCAGGAAATGATGGATACACGGATCGTGTTCAAATCAATAGGCACGCAATGACTCTAAATAATAATGATCACGCCACCAAACACACATTCAAACTAAAGGAACCAGCCTGTTTGGGAAATGAGAGAAGTAGAAAGTACAGGTATTTGAGTTCAACATGTAAGAAGTAGAAAGTACAGGTATTTGTGTTCAACATGTAAGAAGTAGAAAGTACAGGTATTTGTGTTCAACATGTAAGAAGTAGAAAGTACAGGTATTTGTGTTCAACATGTAAGAAGTAGAAAGTACAGGTATTTGGGTTCAACATGTAAGAAGTAGAAAGTACAGGTATTTGGGTTCAACATGTAAGAAGTAGAAAGTACAGGTATTTGTGTTCAACATGTAAGAAGTAGAAAGTACAGGTATTTGTGTTCAACATGTAAGAAGTAGAAAGTACAGGTATTTGGGTTCAACATGTAAGAAGTAGAAAGTACAGGTATTTGTGTTCAACATGTAAGAAGTAGAAAGTACAGGTATTTGTGTTCAACATGTAAGAAGTAGAAAGTACAGGTATTTGTGTTCAACATGTAAGAAGTAGAAAGTACAGGTATTTGTGTTCACCATTTAAGAAGTAGAAAGTACAGGTATTTGTGTTCAACATGTAAGAAGTAGAAAGTACAGGTATTTGTGTTCACCATTTAAGAAGTAGAAAGTACAGGTATTTGTGTTCAACATGTAAGAAGTAGAAAGTACAGGTATTTGTGTTCACCATTTAAGAAGTAGAAAGTACAGGTATTTGTGTTCAACATGTAAGAAGTAGAAAGTACAGGTATTTGGGTTCAAAATGTAAGAAGTAGAAAGTACAGGTATTTGTGTTCAACATGTAAGAAGTAGAAAGTACAGGTATTTGGGTTCAACATGTAAGAAGTAGAAAGTACAGGTATTTGTGTTCAACATGTAAGAAGTAGAAAGTACAGGTATTTGTGTTCAACATGTAAGAAGTAAAAGTGGTCAGAAAAAGTCGTAGTGGAGTAAAGTACTGATACCAGAAAGATTGACTTAAGTACAGTAACAAAGTATTTGTACTCCACTACTTCCCACCTCTGCTAATATGTGTTTGCTGCAGTACTCACGCAGCAGCAGCAGACGAACACGATGCAGAGACCCTGCAGGACCCCCGCGCTGCCCACCACCCAGGTGAGCCGTAGGAACAGGATCACCCCGAAGATGTTCTGCAGGCAGGGCAGGTAGACGCCCATAAAGGTCCCCATCTGAGGAGACTGGAGACAGCAGAGATCAAGAGAACATGAAGATTAGACAACAAAGGCTTCACAATGTCCCAGTGCTATTGAGACTCCATTATGTGTGATCCCAACAAAGCCTTTCAGTGTCCTAAAGAATCTAAAATGAGCGTTTTTACACTGGATGTCAATAGAGTGCCACAGTGACGCGTCCTAAAACACGGAAGTAAACTCCTTCCGGTTCCTTCGACAAAAAGCAATGCAATTTCTCCATGGGATTTAGGAAAATAGCTGGAAATAAGGTCTGTGGTTGAGACACATTGAAGAGACGGATCACGTTTTGATCAGTCGGATAATCTCCACACGTCTCTACCCTACTTTTATAATTTTCGGATCATAAATCTAGTCGCCAGAAGCAAAATGCTAACGTTATGCTATAATCAAACTACAGCAGGGTCGCTGCTTCCACGTCACGCCAACTTCAGATCCATATTCAAACATACAGATTCTAAATGGTACGAGTTGAAGCGTTTGTTTGAACAGTTTGCAGGAGGCAGGTACTTGCTTTCAAGCAGAACAGGGCAAACTAACTTAGAGGAGTGTTTACGTGTTCGGTGTAATGACGTACAACGTCCTCGACAACTTCTGTAGTCCTATTCAGCCACTTGTTAACAACCATCGTTTTTCAGACACGTCAACTCTTCAAAAAGCACCAGTGGGGTCACTGCTGATGTATTTAATGTCGTAGAACAAAACGTGATCCGTCTCTTCAATGTGTCTCAACCACAGATCTTATTTCCAGATATTATCCTAAACCCTATGTAGAGATTGCGTTGCTTTCTGTCGAAGGAACCGGAAGTGGTAAAATGCTAACTTACTTCCGGGTTTCAGGACGCGTCACTGCGCCACTCTATTGAAACGTATATAACAGGTGAATTATATATTTCAAGCTTGCATTCATACACTTACATTTTGCTATCTACCATCAACTGTTCATTAATTGCTATCAATCATCTATTTTAACCTTCTGTCGATTACAAATATAATATTGTATAATATATTTTCTTAGTATTTCATCTGTTTATAAATAAGTTCTTTTTTAACAGTTTTTTTAAACATACTTTTAGTCGTCTGTTAAAATGTACTTTTGCCTACTATTTCGAATAAGTATTAAACCCTTAATTATTTGGACTATTATTAATACATTATATAAAGCTATTTCAACTGTTTATACGACTTCTATACATTACACTTCTTTTTAAGTTCTTAAACTGTTTAAACATTTCTTCTTTCAGCAGGTAACTTACTGAATATTGGGATAAAAAAAATGTAGTAAATCAGAATTGCATCAACCAATAATCCTATTATATCAATTTTGTATTATTATTATTTTGTGGAAATATATATTTTTCCAATTTAGCCTCGCTATCCCCCAATCTTGCACTTCACCACCTTGTAAATGCTTATATGTATATCTCCCAGTGTGGCCAGAAGGGACGATTTTAAATGTTCTGGTTTCTCTTTCCTGTTGCCTAATGAATTTAATAATCCGAAGAGGGTCATGACAGTAAATGAGTCTGTTGACAGCACCACAGCAGACTGTGTAATCTCAGCCCGCCGCTTTTTATCAGCGTTATCACCGAGCCACATCCTCCTGAGCTTTCACTTTCACACGCCGGGTCAACAGGGCAAGAGATGCCGTTACTCATAGTGATCATGTGTTGGAAAGATGGAGGGGAAATGTGTTATGCCTTACTATAACACATGCACCGATTACCATATGTGAGTTAATTTAAAAAGGACATTTCTTACTGTGTTCATGATCATTTCAACTACATTTTAATCCCTTATTATACTCAGGATCATCACCGTGGTTAAAATTGCTGTAGTAGGAGAAAATTGTGCATTTGGGTTCATTTTACACTTTATTGAACAAATATGTCTATTGCACTATAATGTTAAATATATCCTATGGTACATTTTTCGAGGAGCCTGAGACTGAAGATGTTCATTGCCATATATGCTACTTTGGTGCATATGACACATAAAGCCTTTAAATCCTTTAAATGTATGGGTTATTTATTGGGCATCAAAGTACATTTTAATGGTAAAAAAGCATATTTAGTTTTTCTCTGATGGCATATTGCTTCATTGAGACTTTCCTTCATCTTCAAGAAATGTTTTTAACTCCAAGAAAATACATCTAATTCAATATTTGTAGGACAGTTATGCTTGTCAATATGACATCTTGGTGGATTTAATGATAGCAGGGTTCATTTTGGCAGCTATTTTTGATTTAGTCTTTAGACGAAAATGGTTGTTAGTTTTAGTCACATTTTAGTCCTTTTTATCCTTCATAGTTTTAGTCTAGTTTTAGTCAAAATGTTTTCTCTCTTTAAACTAATTCAGTTAGACAAATACAGATATCTGAATCAAGGTGACAGCATCAAGTGTTGAAATTCAAAAAGCAACATTTCACTCTCTTAACACTGTACTTGTGTAATATCTAGGGATGGGTATCGTTAAGGTTTTTAACGGTACTACTACTCTTAAAAATCTGTGTGCACGCCGCTGCAGCGTGTCTGTTAGGCCCCGCCCCCCGCACACAGAGAGAGAGTGAGGCCCCGCCCCCCGCACACAGAGAGAGAGAGAGAGAGGGCCCCGCCCCCCGCACACAGAGAGAGAGAGAGAGAGACAGAGACAGAGACAGAGACAGAGACAGAGACAGAGACAGAGAGAGAGAGAGAGAGAGAGAGAGAGAGAGAGAGGCCCCGCCCCCCACACACAGAGAGACACAGGGGTTGCGGTCGAATAGTCCATTTACCTAACGGAGTGAAATGACCTGTAGAATTCTCCAATTCTCTAGATGAAAGGAAAGGAGGTTTCAAACTTCCTTTATAACCTCCTTTAGCTTAGGAACCACTGGACCTCCCTAACCGAAAGGAGAGGAGGAAATGCTGCCCCACAATGCCTTGCGGCCGCGGCATTTGCCTTGCCGTCACACAACAGTCGGCCGTTCACGGAAACAACCGATTATGAACGAGAAATGATATCATGAAAGTTACGGTGCTTATTAAGCTTTTTAAAATGTATGTGGTAAGTTGCCAAAGTGCTTTGTTTTTAACGTTCATCAGTATTATAATCAAAAAGAGAAATATGAACGTTAGTTTTTACTGAAATGATCAAATAAAGTCAACATTTCACAGTCTTTACTGAGCTGTGTGGGGTTTGTTCAACTTTTAAAAGATGTTTGAATGGTGATATACACAGTGATAGATGTTAAGGACTAACGTTTATAATAAATACATTTGTATTGATTTTAAGATCTTTTCACACAATCATACGTATTGGGATCATTTGTATTAATGTGGACCGGAGGGAGAGGGTGATGAGCATAAGTTTCACTTTCCTTTTTTATTTCAATTCCAACTTTGGTCATGAAGAATATGTTTCTCTGTTGTCCCCGTCCATAAAGCATAAAACAACAGCATCAGAGCACGGTGCAGAGTCCCTAGATGAGTTTACAGTAGTCCCTCGTTCTTATTAAACATCCATGTTGTAGTCCGCTGTATAGAAAACTGTAGTTTCCAGAGTTTCCCCACAGCAGCAGCAGGCGCACATTTATGACCTCCGCTGGCGCATCATAAACACGTCGGATAGTGAAAGTGCAGTCGATTCTCTAAAGTACCGCAGTCTCTTCTCCTAAGTCCTTTTGAATTCTCCTATCCACTATCCCTTAACCCTGTGACGTTTCACTCCGAGGTCAAGGGATAGACGACGGGGATAGACGACGGGGATAGACGACGACGGGGATAGACGAGGGGGATAGACGATGGGGATAGACGATGGGGATAGACGACGGGGATAGACGACGGGGATAGACGACGGGGATAGACGACGGGGATAGACGACGGGGATAGACGACGGGGATAGACGAGGGGGATAGACGAGGGGGATAGACGAGGGGGATAGACGACGGGGATAGACGACGGGGATAGACGAGGGGGATAGACGACTGGGATAGACGACGGGGATAGACGACGGGGATAGACGACGGGGATAGACGACGGGGATAGACGACGGGGATAGACGACGGGGGATAGACGACGGGGATAGACGACGGGGATAGACGACGGGGATAGACGACGGGGATAGACGACGGGGATAGACGACGGGGATAGACGACGGGGATAGACGACGGGGATAGACGACGGGGATAGACGACGGGGATAGACGACGGGGATAGACGACGACGGGGATAGACGACGGGGGATAGACGACGGGGATAGACGACGGGGGATAGACGACGGGGGATAGACGACGGGGATAGACGAGGGGGATAGACGACGGGGATAGACGACGGGGATAGACGACGGGGATAGACGAGGGGGATAGACGACGGGGATAGACGACGGGGATAGACGACGGGGATAGACGACGGGGGATAGACGAGGGGGATAGACGACGGGGATAGACGACGGGGATAGACGACGGGGATAGACGACGGGGGATAGACGACGGGGATAGACGAGGGATAGACGACGGGGATAGACGACGGGGATAGACGACGGGGATAGACGACGGGGATAGACGACGGGGATAGACGACGGGGATAGACGACGGGGATAGACGACGGGGATAGACGACGGGATAGACGACGGGGATAGACGACGGGGATAGACGACGGGATAGACGACGGGATAGCGACGGGGATAGACGACGACGGGGATAGACGACGGGGATAGACGACGGGGATAGACGACGGGGATAGACGACGGGGATAGACGACGGGGATAGACGACGGGGATAGACGACGGGGATAGACGACAGGGATAGACGACAGGGATAGACGACAGGGATAGACGACAGGGATAGACGATACGACAGGGATAGACGATACGATAGGGATAGACGATACGATAGGGATAGACGACAGGGATAGACGATACGATAGGGATAGACGATACGATAGGGATAGACGACGGGGATAGACGACGGGGATAGACGACGGGGATAGAAGACGGGGATAGACGACAGGGATAGACGATACGACAGGGATAGACGATACGACAGGGATAGACGATACGATAGGGATAGACGATACGATAGGGATAGACGATAGGGATAGACGTTAGGAGCTGATTTTTGGATTATTCGACCGCAACCACAGAGATCGCTCTTCTGGAGTGAAGAGAGCGTAAATAATGATATTGCAATTTAGAAACCTAAGATGCATTTTGACAGACAAGATGGACACTTGGGGGAAAACACCCTGCATTTTGAATGTCCGACAGTCCACCATTAACACCGTAGTCCCGTCTCGTCTCGTCAACGAAAACTAAATATACATTTCGTCATAGTTTTTATGATCGAGAATCTATTTTTAGCTCGTCATCGTCTCGTCTTAGTCAAGCAAAAAAAGGTCGTTGACGAACATTTTTCGTCATAGTTTTCGTTGACGAAATGAACACTGAATGATAGATTGTTATATAATAGACGGAGGAGATGCACCTCTGATTGTTTAATGCTTGACTGTTCTTTCATTGTTTTTCGTTGTTATACCTTGCCGGCTTTCTTCTTCTCCCCGATGCCCTCGGCCTCCTCGTGCTCCTTGGCTCCCTGCGTCAGGTTGGTGTAGTTCGCCAGGCGGTTGAGCAGAGAGGACACTTTTGGCCGAGTGTCCATCTCCTCCTGAGGCAGGAAGGGATAAAGAACAAACGGTAAGTGACAGTAAGTGAAGGGGAAGCAGAGAGAGAGACAGCCAGGGGATAAAGGACGGGGAAATGGAGGAGAATAAATAGTGTGTAAAAGATCGGCAGAGAAAGAGACATATTGAATGAGTCATTAAAGGAGTGGGAGAGCCAAGAAAGAGCTTCAAAATCTATACAAATAGAAATGTTTTGCACCCACCAGCAGCCAAACGCCAGGGTTTATTTTAGTCTCTAGTTTAGCAGACACTTTGGCAAAAAGACAAGACACTATTTGGAGATTCTGTTTTCATCGATTGAGCAAAACTGAACATGTAAATGGGACCAAAATCTGGTTTTCTGATACAAGGCAAAGTTTAAAGACTATTTAGGAGATTTCAAAGGAAGTCAGTTCTGAAACAGTCGAGTTTCGAACCTCAAATAAGGCCAAGTTTCGGTCGTAGAAGTCGTCGTCATCCACCCCGTGAGTGTTGTTGATGTACACACTGGAGATTTTGGAGTTTCCATCACCTATACACAAAGAAAGGGATTATAAATACAGGGATATGAATTATTAGTAAACCAGGAAACACAAAACCCCTTTGTGTTTCCTTATTGTGGTTCAGTAACAAGTTAAACGGGATTTCGTACTGAAATAGGTGTGACTATTGAATTAACTCAGACTGTTACCTTAAAGGGGACCTATCATGCAAAAGTGCATTTTGCATGATAGGTCCCCTTTAAATGAGGTCTAGACTATTTTTGTAATAATAATAATGCGTTTTATTTATAGAGTGCTTTTCTAGAAACTCAAGACACTTTACAGAGTAACAATTCATAAAAACATAATTAAAACACACTTGAAATATATAAAACACAACATTAATTAGTTTTGATTTGTGATTTGATATGAAATATCTTTTAGCACAGAATGAGGATTGTGGATGTTGTCTCCCATCACAGGAAGAAATTATAGCAATCTAAATAATGAATAGGGTTTTAAAACATTATGCAATTTCCCTGTATACATAAAATGACAGACAGCTAAATACAATAATCAAGGAACTGAGATAACTAAAACACTTCATCTGATCTACATTTCATTAAAATACTCGTTAGTAGCCATCCTAACACCCGCTTTTGGCACGTGACTTTTGCTTTAAGACTGATACGTTAGCGTTTCTCACAACACACACACACACACACACACACACCACACACACACACACACACACACACACACACACACACACACACACACACACACACACAACACACACACACACAACACACACACACACAACACACACACACACACACACACACACACACACACACACACACACACACACACACACCACACACACACACACACACACACACACACACACACACACACACACACACACACACACACACACACACACACACACACACACACACACACACACACACACACACACACATCACACACACACACACAACACACACACACACACAAACACACACACACACACCACACACAACACACCTCTGCATCAGCAGCTGAGTCAGCAGCATCACTTCCTCTGTCCAACATGTGCAGGGTTGCAACCCAAGGAAACTCATACATGACGTAATGTGACACTCAAAATAAATACGGGTCCTTTTGTGAATATGTGATTAATATGTGTTAAAAAAATAAGGTACTATGATCCTCCCTTTCTGACGTCTTCTCTAACTCTCTGTAGTCTGATTGTTAAATAGGAAGTTAAGGGATTAGTTGGGACGTCGTTGAAGGAGGAGTTGAAAATGTGAGGTTATGGTTAAGATCATACATTAATGTGTGCTATACTGTGTCGTGTGTGTGTGTGTGTGTGTGTGTGTGTGCTTCTATTTAATTCACTGTAAAGTTTGTTTGTTTTTTACCTAAGAAATAAGGTGTTTCTCGGTAAATGCTGAATACTTTCATCTCTGAAAAAGGCCTCGAAAAATTATTTAAAAAGTTGGAACAAGCCCTAAAATGTTTGGGAAACCCTGCTTTTCACCAAAACAAAAGTTCAGACAGAAAGCAGCAGTACACACTAGCTGGTAAACCGGAAATACAGCGTAAATACAGCGTAAATACACCGTAAATACAGCGTAAATATAGCGTAAATACAGCGTAAATACACCTGAACATGGACTGGTTACACATTAGGAAAGTCAATATCCATGTAAAGACAGAAAGCAGCATTTGGCCGGTGGGAGGAAACTTCCCGTCCTGCTCTCAGTGTGCGTTTGGACAAAGATAGCGAGTGTGAAAGTGACTCCACACCAAACAACTCGCCTGTTAATATTCATACTGGCGGCCGGAGAACATTTACTGACAAACTAGTCAGGCGTTTTGCTCATTTGTTGTTCAAAAATGTTGAGCGGCCAATCATCTGCAACATATTAACACTCTAAGTCAACAGGGTGTACTCTATAAATGCAAGTTAAGAACCAAAAAAATAAAAGGCATTTTGTATTTTCATTTAATCGTTTATTTGAACCGGGACATTAATGAACATTTTAAACTAAATAATGCTTTGAAATGTAAATGAGCCGGATTTTAGCTTTGAGCTAATTTCCATCCGTAGTCCCGTCACAACATTTATGAACATAACATTTATAAACATGGCAAACAGAAATACATGATATGCAGAAAGAGCATACAAGCATTTACCACAAGGCAGTACAATGTAGCAGCTACGACATGCAGGAGGAGATACCCCTGTGTTAAAGTGCATTTAGCTGTGATTGCACGTCTGTTTGTTTCTCAACCATTCTCTGAGTTGACCTTTGAAGTTATTGAGAGTGGAACAATCCCGTATCTCAGTATAGGCTGTTCCAGAATGAGCTGCCTTTAACGGCGAGGACAATGTGTCTAAAAGTGGTCCGTCTACGGTGGACTTCACAGTCTCCTCTGGCTTCTGACCTAGTGCAGCGTCCAGTGGGGGGGGGGGGGGGGCAGTCCATGTAAACATTTATAAATAAAACACATACTTTTAAAAGACTTAAAATGGTCAAAACTGAAGAAATTGTGTTTCTCTAGGATGGCACAGTGGTGGTATGAATTAGGCTTTCTGTCAAACACCTTGATAGCTCTCTTGTACAGCTGTTCTATTGGTTTCAGGTTTGTGGCACAAGCAAACGACCAGTTTGTGAAACAGTATTCAATGTGGGATAGAATCATCGAGTGGAGGTTTGACTTTGCAGCACTGACACTTAAGAAAGGTCTGATTTGTTTAACATTTTGCAAGTTGAATTTAACGGTATTGGATACTTTCTTGATATGTTTCTTAAAAGTCAAGTTTGAGTCCAGTATGACTCCAAGATCCTTGAAGTGTAAACACACACATGACCTTTACCTTGTTGTGTTTGACTCCTAACGTGTTGATCAGGACAGACTGCATTTTATTGACGTCAACACTTTGGAATGTTTTCCGTCTTTCAGTCTTTTATGATTGGTGATTATCTTTTGGTTTGGGACTGTCGGTCGAACACCATTTTTCGATATATTTTCTTCTCTCTTTAATACTTTCAATGAGTTTGTCCTTACATGTACTTTGTCCAAACTACAAACTAATATGTATACATACAGCATAAATACAACTAGACTTGATTGCATGCCATAAATACACGAGTGAATTTCTTAAGAAAACACAAAGAATGATAAATAATATTCTTTAAAAAAAGATTGTTAACTAATAAATTGTCTTAAAATGAAATCACTAAAATATTAAAGTGGACCTATCATGCTATATTAGAATAATATAGTGTAGGACCATACCTATATAAGGCATATTTATACTTTTTTTTTTTCAAAATACCAAACAGATCATGCATTTTAGCCATGCCTCATTTCGCTCAATTTGACATTTTTTACCCCTGTTTTAGCAAGGGTTGATTCAGTGAGAACAGCACCACCTACTGGCCTGGCATATGTACTACAGCGTCTCCAGCGCTTTCGAACGGCAATGGCCGTGGCTGTCTCCTCCTGATTGGTGGAGTTGGCCCAATAGCCGTCCTGACGTCAGGACAGTGTTCAAATCTGGATCAGTTTTTATCAGATCCGTTGCAGCCCCTTTTTTAGAGATTTGGGTATGGAGGAAAATAGAGAGGGTTGTGTTTTCTGACACTTGGTGAGTTCCCTGGAACACCGGGGACACATATTCATGTAGAAAAGACGTACACAAGTGCAGTTTGCATGATAGGTCCCCTTTAAGTTAGATTACTAATTTTGTTTGTTTTTAGATGTATAAACTGTCTAAATTGTTGAAATAGTAGAATAAATAATAAAAAAACAATTTAAAAAAGACAGTTATGTATAAAGGGAAAGGGATATATCCCCAAAATGTCATCAAAGTACTCCCCTTTGCTTCATTTGATATTAAAACATATAAAACTATAATTGAATAGCTTATAATGAATTAATCAATTACCAGACTGAATGATACAGGAACTAATCATTTGTTGCCGTCCTCATACGACTTTTCTTTTCTTTCGCACGCGATAAAATTCCCCCTCAAAAAACTACCCAGTCACATTTGGAGCAATTATAGCTTTGGAAATATGTGATTTGTCCCCGTTGAACTGCAGCGTTCACACATGGGAGCGCAGCTGTCTGTTTGTGTCTCAGAGAAGAGCTCCACCTGAGTTCATCACATCAGAGTGACGCCTTGTTGTGATTGGCCATCGAGGCAGAAAGAAGCTTCTGCAGCCAGATGTGCGTCCGTAAGCACGTGAAATCCTACATTTAAAAGGTGTCAGAACGGATGGATCACAGCGCATTCGACCTTTCTCTGAAAATAACTCCTGCTGCCTCCTTTCCTCCTCATCGACCCTGCAACATTTCTCATCTCCACGTTGTTATTTTCTGCTGCGTCTGCCTCTCTGTATCAAATACTGCCGCATCACAGACGCTGATCGAAGCTTATTAAACAACGTTGGGCATCCCCGCTACGATGCAACAGCTTAAGAGGATCAGAGCTGCTAATACAGTTACATCTCTCCTCGGTTATAACCCGCGCTGAGCCCTGTGAATCAGCGCGGCTATTCTTAAACACTTTTGGAGAGTCAATTACTGCACAGTCACGGTGGGTCTGAACTAGTTTTTGCCTCGTTTGCTCATCACGATTTCTTGACGAACTGGACTTACAAGCTGCACCTGTTCAAACTGAGTCCGTGAGAAAGGCTTTCTGCTGTCAGCTAGCATTAAGTAAAGAGTAGTGTGTGTGTGTGTGCCTGAAGGTGGGCTGATGACAGCAGTGGGGGAAGTGAAACTTAAACTAAGATCACAATAAGCCACAGTCCTGGTATTGTCTTCAACATCTGCTCGGTGCAATAAGATCAACTGTTGCTGGATTTGCTACCCTCCCCTGAAGTCAGACTCTCTTAGCTTAAGGTCCGAACGAGACAGAAAACACATTTTAAAAAGGTCACCTATTATGCAAAATCCTCTTCTTCATGTCTCTTCTACATCAACATGTGTCCCCTCTTCTTCATGTCTCTTCTACATCAACATGTGTCCCCTCTTCTTCATGTCTCTTCTACATCAGCATGTGTCCCCTCTTCTTCATGTCTCTTCTACATCAACATGTGTCCCCTCTTCTTCATGTCTCTTCTTCATCAACATGTGTCCCCTCTTCTTCATGTCTCTTCTACATCAACATGTGTCCCCTCTTCTTCATGTCTCTTCTACATCAACATGTGTCCCCTCTTCTTCATGTCTCTTCTACATCAACATGTGTCCCCTCTTCTCCATGTCTCTTCTACATCAACATGTGTCCCCTCTTCTTCATGTCTCTTCTACATCAACATGTGTCCCCTCTTCTTCATGTCTCTTCTACATCAACATGTGTCCCCTCTTCTTCATGTCTCTTCTACATCACCATGTGTCCCCCTCTTCTTCATGTCTCTTCTACATCAACATGTGTCCCCTCTTCTTCATGTCTCTTCTACATCAACATGTGTCCCCTCTTCTTCATGTCTCTTCTACATCAACATGTGTCCCCTCTTCTTCATGTCTCTTCTACATCAGCATGTGTCACTGTCCCCTCTTCTTCATGTCTCTTCTACATCAACATGTGTCCCCTCTTCTTCATGTCTCTTCTACATCAACATGTGTCCCCTCTTCTTCATGTCTCTTCTACATCACCATGTGTCCCCTCTTCTTCATGTCTCTTCTACATCAGCATGTGTCCCCTCTTCTTCATGTCTCTTCTTCATCAACATGTGTCCCCTCTTCTTCATGTCTCTTCTTCATCAACATGTGTCCCCTCTTCTTCATGTCTCTTCTACATCAACGTGTGTCCCCTCTTCTTCATGTCTCTTCTACATCAACATGTGTCCCCTCTTCTTCATGTCTCTTCTACATCAACATGTGTCCCCTCTTCTTCATGTCTCTTCTACATCAACATGTGTCCCCTCTTCTTCATGTCTCTTCTACATTAACATGTGTCCCCTCTTCTTCATGTCTCTTCTACATCAACATGTGTCCCCTCTTCTTCATGTCTCTTCTACATCAACATGTGTCCCCTCTTCTTCATGTCTCTTCTACATCAACATGTGTCCCCTCTTCTTCATGTCTCTTCTACATCACCATGTGTCCCCTCTTCTTCATGTCTCTTCTACATCAACATGTGTCCCCTCTTCTTCATGTCTCTTCTTCATCAACATGTGTCCCCTCTTCTTCATGTCTCTTCTTCATCAACATGTGTCCCCTCTTCTTCATGTCTCTTCTTCATCAACATGTGTCCCCTCTTCTTCATGTCTCTTCTTCATCAACATGTGTCCCCTCTTCTTCATGTCTCTTCTTCATCAACATGTGTCCCCTCTTCTTCACGTCTCTTCTTCATCAACATGTGTCCCCTCTTCTTCACGTCTCTTCTTCATCAACATGTGTCCCCTCTTCTTCATGTCTCTTCTTCATCAACATGTGTCCCCTCTTCTTCACGTCTCTTCTTCATCAACATGTGTCCCCTCTTCTTCACGTCTCTTCTTCATCAACATGTGTCCCCTCTTCTTCACGTCTCTTCTTCATCAACATGTGTCCCCTCTGTGTAAAGAGACTCTGAAAGTTTCAGGAACAAAGATTCTCTCTCTTTTTGTCCTGATCCATTTCTATAAAAACCTGTCTGAAAATGAGCTGATGTGTTGTCTTGTGTAACCATTAGCCAATCAGCAACCAAGGTAACCCCCCCCCCCCCCCTTATCACCTGAATGTCCTCCTAGAGCACCATTGTGTTCTTTGTAACCAAATCTCTCTCAGAGGGGCGTGGGGAGGGGCTCCTTATTTTCATCTAAAGTAACAGACAGAGAATCAGCACTTTGGAAACAGGGCTGAAACAGAGGGGATTATGGGTAATGCTGCAATGATCTGTTTGGTGTTTGGAGACAAAACACTTCAGAGACATGTTTTGTATATATCTGAGACCTGTAATATATTGATGAAAAACAGTATAATAGGCGACCTTTAAAAACACTTTGACACACATGAGGATGTATGTAAAGAAGCACTTCCTGTTTGACTTCCTTTATATTATACATTTTGCACGTAGAGCTGTCTGATGTCTTGTCCTTGTCAGTGGGAATGTTTCATGTTTCTCCTTGACTACCTGAACACAGCTAAACATTAGAGATTGATTGACTAAGAAAACAATGAGTCAGCATATCCAGTGACAGTTTGACTACTTGCACAAAGCATGACTAACAGATTTAACGGTGGATCTGTGCAGAGTTCAAACTGTAACTAATGAAGGGGACTGGGAACACTAAAAAAGGGACATGAGTCAAATTCACACCAGCAGCGAGAAGCTAAAGGTTTGGGAAACTCCAGAAATCTTAATAAGTTATGACTAAGTTCACAGCCGCCTCTCTGTTATAATTAAGACCAAAATATGCCCTTAGATTTAGGACAACACCCTCAAATGTCTTCCTTGTTTCTTTGAATTTACCGAGTTACACTTAAGGTTTGACCCCCCCGCTGAATTAGCCGTTATTTTCCCATTCTGCTCTTGGCTGTACGAACGCCTTTCACTCAACTATTTTTGACACTGAAAGCTGAAAAAAAAGTGAGGTATCTCGGGGTATCTCTCTCTCTCAAACAGACGAGCCTGTTTACAGTTGTCGGCGAAATGCCGCTCCTCTGTCTTCATAACAGTCAAAGCATGAGACTGAAGTTCCCACCTAGGGTCAAAAGAATGCGCTGTGATGGGCAGTCGACACGTTGGATGCAATCCGAATTATCTCACGCAGCCCCTTGTCCTCCACAATGTTAAGCTGTAGCCATCCATTTAGCTATCGCTGTTGAAAGCGTGCTGCTCGTAGACGCCGTGTCCAGGCGTCTCCCCGACAAACTTTCAAGCGTGGTCTGCCGCAAGCGAGCGGCAGGAGCGGGGCTGTCAGCATCAGCTGTGTGCTTGGCTTGCTGTTTAAAACACCTTTTTTTGTATCCATATCTCTCGCTAGAATCTCCCACCATCCAACTAACAACAACAACAACAACAACAACAACGTCAAGCCTTTGGGCTCTGAAACTACGGGGCGGGCCGAGGACAAATACACATGCGTTAATCGCACGTTAAAATAATTAGTGGCGTTAAAAAAAAAAAAAATGTGTGTTGAACTCTCCCTGAGTCTGCTGGTGTGTGTGTGTGTGTGCGTGTGCATGTGCGTGTGTCTCACCTTGGTCTAAGGTGCTGTGGTCCGGCGTCTCGGCCCCTCCCTGGCCCCCGTACGCCTCGCTCAGCGGGTCGCTCCGGTTCACGCTCTCTCTGGAGCCGAAACGCACGCGGGCGCCGGAACGCGAGCTGATGTCAGGCGACGTGTCGGACAGCCCCGGGAGGTCCTCGGCCTTCGTGGGCGTCACCGTGAAGCGCACTGAAGCCATGGCTGCTCACTTGGAGTAGAGGGGGGGGGGAAGGAAGGGAGGGAGGGAGGGGTCAGTAGCTAAGTGCTGACCTGAGCTACGCTAAGCTAAGCTAGGCTATCTCCCAGGTGATGCTGAGGTGACGGCGGCCTCTACAATTTGTTCTTTTGCAGCCACAATTCTCCATTGCAGCCGAGTGGTTGGCTGCCACCAGGCATGTGAAAAAATATGTGCAACAGGCCTCTGTCTGTGCCTTAGAGAGTTAATAACCTCTCCGACTTTGTGTACCAGTCACAAGTAGCTTTCAGAGATCATAGGTACACATAGATGAAGAGTTTAGGATGTCAAATATGTCCTTTGCTTCCAACAAACTACAAGGAAACAGTGTACAGTATCTGCATGAGGACTATAGCTTACACATCGCAAATTAAGCTTGCCTGTGTTTCTCAAGTTTACACAATTAAAATGTGTCTGAAAGGCTGATAGAAATGTTTCTCTAATGACGGCCCAGCTAGGGTAAGGGAGGGTATAGTGATGGGGAAAGTCATCAGAGGGAAAGGATGGAGATGAGAGAGAAAAACAATAAAGCAGAAATTAGTCGATTATTGCAAAAACTGGCTCAATTGTAAATGAAAAGGAACATCTTAAAATATAAGCAGGCTAAATGTATGGGGGATTCAAATAAGGAAAAGCAGTACTTTGAAAATTGTATCTACAACATGTAGTCTTCATTTCAGATTGTGCCTAACTTGTGCTGTCTGTCTGTGTGTCTGTCTGTCTGTCTGTGTGTCTGTTTGTGTGTCTGTCTGTTTGTGTGTCTGTCTGTCTGTCTGTCTGTCTGTCTGTTTGTGTGTCTGTCTGTCTGTCTATCTGCCTGTCTGTGTGTCTGTCAGTCTGTCTGTCTGTGTGTCTGTCAGTCTGTCTGTCTGTGTGTCTGTCTGTTTGTGTGTCTGTTTGTGTGTCTGTCTGTCTGTTTGTGTGTCTGTTTGTGTGTCTGTCTGTGTGTCTGTCTGTTTGTGTGTCTGTTTGTGTGTCTGTCTGTTTGTGTGTCTGTCTGTGTGTCTGTCAGTCTGTCTGTCTGTCTGTCTGTCTGTCTGTCTGTGTGTCTGTCAGTCTGTCAGTCTGTCTGTCTGTGTGTCTGTCTGTGTGTCTGTCTGTGTGTCTGTCTGTCTGTCTGTGTGTCAGTCTGTTTGTGTGTCTGTCTGTGTGTGTGTGTGTGTCTGTCTGTCTGTCAGTCTGTCTGTGTGTCTGTCTGTGTGTCTGTCTGTCTGTGTGTCAGTCTGTTTGTGTGTCTGTCTGTCTGTGTGTCTGTCTGTGTGTCTGTCTGTGTGTCTGTCAGTCTGTCTGTGTGTCTGTGTGTCTGTCTGTCTGTCAGTCTGTCTGTCTGTCTGTGTGTCTGTCTGTGTGTCTGTCAGTCTGTCTGTGTGTCTGTCAGTCTGTCAGTCTGTCTGTCTGTGTGTCTGTCTGTCTGTCAGTCTGTCTGTCTGTGTGTCTGTGTGTCAGTCTGTCTGTCTGTGTGTCTGTCTGTCTGTCTGTGTGTCTGTCTGTCTGTCTGTCTGTCTGTCTGTGTCTGTCTGTCTGTCTGTCTGTCTGTCTGTCTGTCTGTGTGTCTGTCTGTCTGTCTGTGTGTCTGTCTGTCTGTCTGTATGTGTCTGTGTCTGTCTGTGTGTCTGTCTGTGTCTGTCTGTGTCTGTCTGTGTGTGTGTGTGTGTGTGAGGAAGTATGCAAGTAATTGCCATCAGCTTTTATGTATTAAGATACAGAAAATAAAAAGGTATTAGACTATTATATTTGACTATTGTAACCGTCGACTACTCGCTTATGTACACATTTTACTTTTGTCATTTCTAAATTTCGTTTTTTTTTACTTTTTTCAAATGGATTGAAATGCATTTGTTTTCACAATAGTACATTGGATCATCGTTAGTCCATTCAATTAAAGTATTGCATGTTCTTAATAAATGCCTCCTTTGCAGCACTCTTCAATGAATTCCCGCAAAGAAAAATAAGAAGCATTTCAAGTTTCACTTTTTTAGGTAAAGGACCGGTCTATAGTCGTCACTTCTAGCCCACCTGTGTGCTCCAACCAACACAAGCCTCAACCTGCCTTTCTCTGAAGTCAAAAGGTAAACAACACACACTCGTTTCCTTGGTACCTTTATGTACTTTCACATACCTTTGTCCAGCGAACTAACCAATATAAAGTAGCCTTGGGAACAGATTCATTACCCGTCCACAACATGACGTCTGTCTAAACGACGTAAAACAATAACCACCCCGTTGACTCACAGGTGAAAAGTCAACCATCACTTCGTCTTGGGAGAAAGGTGACTTGTGGATACGGCTGAATTGTTGCTTTAACTCATAATTTAATTATTAAAGGAGAGCGGTTCTAACCGGTTGTGCCAGTAGCTGCTTGCTGTTTTTCTCTCGCTCAGCATGCAGAGGCACGGCACAGTTTCCTCTTTCTATAACGCCTCACACACTTCATCTGTCCACGTTCAGAGCTGGACATTTCATTTGTATTTGTTCCGTTCATGGTATGCACAACTTAATGTATAACAACTGTTTACAAAACATGTCTCTATAAACACACCATTGACTGAAAAGGAGCTGGGAGAAGAAAATAATCTTATATGAACTAAATAAATGGAAATAGATGGTCTGTCCTTCATATTTTCTTATTCACACAGTATCATAGGATGATAAGAGAAACACGAAAACTTACTACAAAAAATACTTAGTCCCCACTTGACAGTTAACGGAAAGAAACAAAACATCACATCTACAAAGAAAAAGCACATAAAGACAGACATGATTCTCATCCTGCTGGTTCAACTAGTCTTCCTGTTGTTTTTTAACTAACGTCCTGATAGGTTTAGGAGTCATTTACCAGCATGCATTGTGGTAAATGCTGAAAGGGTTATGAGTCTAGACAAACACATGTACAGCTATGGGCAATAAGGACACTATGAGAAATGACACGCTTCTCCTACACTCACATCTATACCCACAATGCACTGTTCCGGTCCTTGTCACACACATGTATTGATATATCTTTTCATAGTTTGCTCGCATCATGGGAAATACTTTCGAAGTTTGGAAGGCTTTTAATGACTATATCTTTTGCCACCTTGATTACGTTTAAATGGGTCAAATTTAGTGCATTTTTAGGGAAGATTTTTGCTCTTTGCACCTGATTTGTGGCACAGATTTTGTGATTTATTCTGTGATACACGAGACAAGAGGGTTCCTTTTTCTTTTTTAACAAGCCATTTGTCACTGTAGCCATGTTACGTGCTTTTACAGCAGGACGGTTCATTTAAAGTTTCCTCTTTCTGTCCACTCAGTAAATATAAGAGCATTTCACGGTTGGGAACATTTTGTTCTCCTTCCTGGCAATTCAGCAGCTTAGATTGTTGATCTTTAAACGGGTTGTTTACATAGATATAGGAAACCGTTTCTGCTCAGGTATCCAAATACGACACTGGATCACCAATGAATTATCTCTTGATATATTGCACACCTCATACTTGTATGATGTGTAACACTAACTCAAAGCCCAAAATACTTACAATTCTTCAGATACCGATTAACAAATAACCTAAATACCTAATATCATGAATTCAACCTGGGACATTTTATCCAATTTTCTACATGTTGTTCAACACTATTCATTCCAATGTATTTCATATGAGGCTTTATCATAGGTAAGTGAACAGTTCTTAATAATAGGATCCAGAGGGGGTCACTAGCCTAGCATTGAAACACTGTACACAAACACCAGGACTATGGGACTAATACACACAAATAGTCTCGCAATTGTTACAAATAGCAAAGTAACAATTGTAATATTGACACTAACCAATGTCTATATGCTTCTGTGGTATATTTCTGTCGTAATAAAAGTATTTTTCTACTGTGAATTTGTACATATTTGCTGTTTGGGTTACATTTTGTATTACATTTGTATCTTATTCTGTCTTTAAAATATTTTTAACTCGTGTGTAATGCTAGAAAACACTGTTGCTGTGACCAAGTAATTTAAAAATGTGGGATGAATAAAGTCTCTATCTATCCATCTAATGAATGTGAACATCCTCTAATTAATTATTTAGTTAGAGGATGATTACCAGCATTTTTTTTAAATGAATATAAGTCAATATGCTTATAAATTTCTGTCCCTTTAGTAGATTGGTATATTAGAGAGCGTTCTCATTTATTCAGTATATGTTATTGTGTGTGTTCTTAGATAGTGTATAGTGTTTTAACCGGTATTTTATTAGTAATTTGTTCTATTTTGTGTGTTATTCTTGTACAATGGCTGTCAAAAATGCTGCTATGACTTAACATCTCTCTATGTACCTTAACAGTGGATGGTGACCCTCCCTGCTGACTGACTCCACTGTAAGCCAATTAAGCTAGCCATAATAATTCTGGCTTGAACCGGTCAGTGAACGCATCCCAATATTAATACAGACAAAAACCTGGAAGGATAATCTTTATAATATAGTAACGAGCAGATGTGTTTTGGCTTAGAAATGACACCATGAGAAAGGGAAATGCGGCATCAGTGCGAGAGGCTGCGTTTACCGGCTAAAATCAGAAAGGCGCGCGGCGGAATCGGAATAAACTGGAGGAGAAATTAGTTATTGACATGGTTGTGATTCTCGTTTAAATGTAAGCATTATATTATTAATAACAACATGTCAAGAGCCGAAGCTAACGTTAGCACCACAGGCTAACCATGCTGCTATTTTTCACTGACAACAACAAATAGTCAGTGAAAACGTCCATTTTTTTTGTTCAGTTCTAATAAGACGTTAGTCGCATGAAGCATACCTGGCTTAAGTTTCCTGTGGAAAACGCTTCTGGTTGTTTTCAGTTACATCTGGGAAGACCTGGCTCCTCTCCCAGGTTTCTCGGCACTTTTTTTTTGTGTCCGACCGACCCAACAAAAAAAACAAGCGACTGCACACGGCCTGTCCCATTTCGCTTGCCGTCGTTCAAACTGCCAGCGCATGCGCATGCGCCGTAACTAAGAAGCAGCCGACGCTTGCTGGGATTTGTAGTCCACAAACACCAGACAGTGAATAGCGTGTTAATGTTAAATGCTTAAAAAGTATGATAAACGTACTTATTACGGTTCCTTGTTAAATAATAAACAAGTGGTAACATAATGTCGAATTGGTCATGTATAATTGAGTCACTGTGGCCATTTTAGAAGAAGAATATTTTGACTTTTATTGTTGTTCTGAGTCATTTCCATTAGGTAATGATTTGATTGTCTCATCCGCAGAAGCTAATTTAATGTGTACATGATGCAACACAGTTATGTGTGTGTACTCCTTTGAGATCGAAGTGCATCTGCAGAAAATGAAAAGAGCTTTCATTGAAAAAAGTATTACTTTTTAAATTTGTAGCTGCAGCTCGGATGTTGGTTGGGTTGGTTTGGTTTCAGGAGAAAATAATCTGGAGGGAACTGTGTTATAAAGTATATATCTATCTATTTAAAGAAATGCATGTTTCACGCAGGATCAGTATGCATGATGCATTGTATGCCATTAGGTTCCTATTATTTCATTGGAGTAATTCTTGAGAAGCTCACTTGCTAAATGCATATACACCCCCTTTACAAAGACATACATACACACTACAAACAAGTGTACTAATCTTTGACTATCCCTGATATAGTCGTCTATAAATGTTTTCTTATCAGATTTTTCCAGTCATAATTAATTTTCAATGGAACAGATTTACCATTTCTTTAAAAAAGAAATCTGTAGCACACCAGTGGAAAATATCTAATAGGTGTTTGAGATCTGGTGACTCAAGGACATAAATGATCCACAACACATCACATTAATCCAAACCATCATCCAAACATTTATTCAGCAAGAAAATATATCTTCATCCTCGAATGAATGCCAAAAAATTACAGTATATATAAAAAAAAAAAGATCCACAACAACAGCTGATGTCCACAAATGAAACGCAAAACAAATCCCAGTTTTACGTTTATAAGATGTGATTCTGAATTTGTTTTCTTTACAGTCCCATCCAGGCCTGCATCCCTCCATTTCTTGGTCTGATTTCCACCCGTCCATCTGTTCACCGCCTGCTCACAGGACAGGTCTGGGCTGCTGGGTCAGGAGGAGGTTGAAGCGTTTCTTCACCGTCACCCTGTGTCGGGAGAACTTATCGTCTGGGGAGAAACGAGCCGGGTGGGCCGAGCTGGTGGGATCCCCATCACCAGTACTCTTCTGTTGGTGGGGAAGGAGGAAAGACAAGGCAAAACACTTTGAGTTCAGTGTGGGGAGATACAAAATAAAAGCCTTGCACAAAGCTACAGTGTAGAAATGGCAATTAAATTCTTCTGACCTGAGCTCCTCCAACAATGCAACATATATAATAAAAATACAAATTACAAAATAGTGCAAAAAGTCTATATACATGTCAATAGAATATGGGATATGTAAAAGAACAGAATATGAAATAAATAATGTAAAAAAACTGCATTACGTTTGTTTGAGTAACAATAAAGTGTGTGTGTGTGTGTGTTTTCTGTGTGTATTGCAAAATAAACTGTTATGGTGGTTTGACACAGAAACACATCCAAACCCCCTAAACTAATAAAGTTAAGGGTCATTTGAATAGTCAAAACATTGCTAGATCCTAAAAGACGTATATCATGATTGAGAGACTGTATTAGTTGCATGCTTTTTTGCGAAAAGATATTTGAATTCTGGTTTCTGCTATGGGTATTCCAATATTATAACTAGGGAGATACACACAATATGTATTACCCCTGGATTAATAACATTTTTAAAAGTTCTTATTTCAAGCAGTCCATATATATCCGTCTGTATGGTTTTATTTCAACTAACGTTAAATCAACCATGTGAAATATGTTAACGGTGCAAGTCACCTCAAATTACCCTTTTTCCTTCTGTGTTTGATATTATATTTGGTAAACTGAGGATATCTAAATTAAGAGATAAAATACATTTAAACGGAATACATTTGGAAAGGAAGGATGTAAACACAACGTTTAAGTTACCTTCAGAGTGTAGACTCTGTCCCCTTCCTCGTTGAGGTAAAACTGCAGAAACATCTCGACGTTATTGTTTTAAAGCTTCAAAATATATCAAAGCGATGGTTTTGTATCAAAAGTTGCAGCTAACACGCTCTTTCTGCTCCGATATCCACGTGTGGCGAAGTTTTCTCCTCGCTCGTTCTAGAGGACGGATATCCGGTTTAGAATTGACGGTGCATGGCATTCTGGGAAATGGTGTTTAATAATACAAAACCTTATTGAACGTACGAAAGGGAAAAGTTATATCTGGGAAACATGTAAAAATATTTAAAGTATGGCGCTGTTTTTACACAACAATAAATATGAATTAATTAATTAATTATATGTTTTAGTTTTTAGAGGTTTGGAATGTTTATTTTCACAGAACTAGTTGAAAGAAAACAAAACCTTGTTTACTTTTAAAACATACTGCAGATACAAGACTTATCATCTCACACATGCAAGGTAGGTGACATCTTTGAATGACCTAAACATGTGTATTATTCATCAAAAGAGTGTTAAAACAGTAGCAAAAGGGCATTTTTTAATTAATTTTTTTATTTAAGTGCATATCTTAAATAAGTTTCAATCAGATATTCAGTTTAAAATTGTATGCAATAGAAAAGCAGGACGTTTCCATATTTGAGAGACTGAAAACAGCAATTCCTGTATCTGAAAATTGCTTTAAAATGTATCAAAGTATTGGCAATTATTTCTCAGGTTATCCCCTTATTAATGAATATTAAACAAAAATGTTTCTCTTACCACTTTTATTAATTGAATTAACTTTAGAGCTTCATTATAAATAAATGATGATACAAAATATGGTAAGTCTCTTCAATAAAACTGGTTTACAGTAAGTCATATGTTATCAAAGATAATTAATTATTAGTTTATATTGAAAACACACTGAAAGCCATTCTCTATGATTACCTGGATTGGAGATTTTGTCTTATTGCCACTGACAGCTCTGCATTATTTCACTTTTCCCCTCACAGTTACAGCGTTGTTTTCTCCGATTGAGAACAACCTTATTGACCTTCTTCAAGTCATGAGCCAGGTCGGACTGTTTCATCCATCAGAGCCTTGTGTGGTGCCACAGAATCATCCCACAGTTGCAGAAATCCTCCAGGAAATAGAAAATCCTGACACGCAGACACACATGGACTCAAACCAGCACCGTGTGCAGCATCTGACCTCCAGTTTTATCCCAATGCAACCCCAAAGAGCTCAGGACGACCCCTCGTACATAAGCATCCTTCCCCAGCCTGGATTCCCCCCAGAGCTCATCATCACGCCCTGCTCTCCTCCAAACGTCTGCTGGCCAAACTCTACATTTGGTTGTGGTCCCAGGGTGCTGGTTCCCATCATCAGCCCACCGGAGTTATGTGGCCCCGGGATGCCTCGCCGCTCCTGGCTCCTCCTGCCCGAAGGTCACCCCGTCTGGTGCCTGTGTCCCCAGGAGGTGCCTCTAAACCAGCCCTGCAGTGCAGACATGTGAGGGACAAACAGCAGATATATATATGTATTTCTTTTTTTAAACGCCAGCTAAAGACACATCTTTTTAGATTAGCTTATGAGCAACCCCCCACTTTAAATGTTATTTTAGTCTTTATTATTTACCTACCTTTATGTTATTTTATAGGTTTGATTTGATTTGATTTTTGATTTGATTTATTTCGAATGTGTAAAATAATAATACAAACATTTAACATGAGATTATTATACAATACAAAACTAAGCAGTGTCAAATTGATATACAAAAATATGACTGATTCTAAATTATGTATAAACAAATAATCTACTTAATTACACATCCGAAAAGGGGTGGGAAGAAGTTTACACTTATTTAATCCCACCCCTTCTCAATCTTTTTCTTACCTGTCGGAGAGAAACCATTATTTATTTTATTTGTATTATCATACCTTTTACCTCCTTGTGTCTATTAACCAAATAAAAGGTTATATGTTGCTGCATGTACCTTTTAAAAGTTCTTAACAAATAATCTGAGGGGAATTTCTTGTTGTTTGTTTTGAACTCGTGCCATTTTGTAAAGCACTTTGAGCTGCATGTGTTGTATGAAAAGTGTTATATAAATAAAGCTTTATTAGTATTATTATAAGAGACAATAAGACCTTTATTGATGACTGTATTTAACTTGTTTCACTTTGACCCCAGGGAAAGGACTTCTCAGCAGGTCAGAGATCAGTTAAACATCAAACCAGAGTCTGCCATGTTAGGGAACATGTGGGCCAAATCAGAAGGTCAGAGGTCAAGGATTATAATATGAGTCAATTTAAGGACATGTTTATCCAACTTTTAGTTTAGACTGAAATATCAACGATTTGATTGATTGTCATGAAATATGGTTGTAGCATTCATGGTCCCAAGAATCTTTAGGACTTTAGTGATCATGTGACTTTTTCTTCTTGCATAACCATGTGTATGAGATATGTGGTGTCAAATATTTGTATACAGGTCAACATTTTAGACATTCTTATCAGCTTCAGGTGAAGTTCTTGTTGCTAATAAGTATTATTACCATTGCACATGTCAAACATCAGCATTGTCGTTGTACTTTGCACTTTTTGCATTTGTAATTATAAGATATCTTGTAAAATATCTACTTTTCATAATTTGTCTAAAAAAAAAAAGCATACTTTAAAGAAAAGTCGATGATTGAACTAACAATTTAATGCATTTTGCTCTCCTTAAAATCTAAATATGATGGTGTTTCCTCACAGAAGAGCAGCAACATGTTAAACTGGAGGATTGTTCTGGTTCTGCTCACTTTTTGGATGAAGAAATACTGGCAGGACAATCCTTTGAGGAATACATGGCGATCTTCGACTCCTTCTGCACGCAGGTCACTTTCTATAAGAAATCATATCAAATCTGGGG